GGGGGGGGGGGGGGGGGGGGGCAGGAGACCATTACAGGATTTAGCAGTCTTGCTTTCACATAGAGTCTGCCATATTTGATCAGCAGATGAGTAGATCCAAGGATCATCTGTTCTGAATAGACTCTTATACAGACCACTATTTTTTCAATTATGAGAAAATTATCTAAAAATGTTCAAAAATCTACACTAATACATATCAATATGTGTATAATCTCTTAATTCTTTAAAACAATATTTTATTATTGGTATTTTTGTTTTTGGTGCTATGGCATTTATCTTTTGTCTTCAGGAAAACTCCAGCAAATTTGAAAAGAAAGATGCCTTTTTTTTTCAAATTCAGATATCCCCACGATACTGTTAGAAAAAAATAAATAAGGAAGAGTAGACTATATAGCAAAAGGAATTCCAGTAAGCCTGAAGGCAAACAAAAAAAAAAAAAGACTCGTAGACATCCTAATCACAATAGAACATGTACCAATTCAAGTGTTAATGATGAACTATTACAGCCTTTAACTTAGGAACAGGTTTAAGTTGTAACGTTAAACGTAAACACCTTCGTAATATTGGAGTATATAGGAGTCCGGGCTATAAAAGACACGAACTATTTTGTAAATAACAACGCAATTTTCTTTGAAAAAAATCTCTCCAGTAAATTGAATCAACAAGAGACTTCAAGTTTAACCCCTTATTTAGTCTAATTAAATGTAGTTTGTGTTGCCAACAGGGGGGCTGTCCGAACCTGATTTTGCAGCCGAAATAAGCTATCTCTTTATGCCTCCTTTCATTGGAGAGTTTGATGTTGTTTCGGTTGTTTACATGCACAAAACATGGAATTACAGACAAATTTAGTTTTAATACAAGAAAAAGAAGGAATAAGATAAATATTTCTAAAGTGTGAAAAGCGTGCTGTACAAAGTCGTGTGGAGATCGGGTTGTGCTTGTACAAACACTGCGATGTGTTAATTGTCACGTCCGCCGCTCTCTCGGCCTGCTGACGTGCAAAATTTAGATCTACTTCATGATCTTTACAACGACGCTGATGACCTAGAGCCAGAACAAGGAACCCGTGATTATTTTTAAGCGGACAGCAGTGCACTTTATACTCAAAAAAGTGTTGGTTTGTTTTTCTCAATATGCCTAAATTTAAGTATTTTACTAATTAAGTTTGTACTAGAGGTGCAACACTGCACACTATTTAATACTGACTTCAACAGGTCTTAATAGTGTAATTACAGTTACTACTTTTACTCTAATTCCTTATATTTAGGTCATTTTGATTGGGGTTTAATACAGTGTTTAGCATCATCATAGTAAGTATAATAGTTGTTGCAACTTCAACTTGATATCAATGCACAGCCCTCTCAGTTTCCTTATGTTTAATTTTGATTCAAGTATAACAGACATATTTATTTTGCCATGCAAATAACACTGTCCTACATATGTATTAAATGCATTTGTTACTGACCTGCATAAGCATCATTTTCATTTTTTTTTTCAGTTTAAATTTGGTTCATTGACAGAAGAAGTTTAAATGGATGAAGAAACCTTTTCTGACGAAGATGGTGGCAGTAGGCACAAAAAGAAGCATTTGGGAATTCAAGATACCCTCGACAGTTCCTGGTCCAAAAAGAAAGGAAGCAGATGGAGCTATGTGTGTAACTTATTGGGTTTAATATCAGCCTCTTTGTTCCTCTTCGTGATAATAATGTTTGGGCGGTCTTTTATGACAGAATGGCTATATAATGTGGATGATGAAGTTACTGATATTCATGAACCCAGCACCATTTCTCACCATCAGGACTAAGGCAGACTGTGCACGTACCATACGAAGAAAATAAGTCACAATGTCAGCAATTTTCATTTGAGGTCTAAAACATTACAATGGAAATCTTGTACTGTAAGGCTACCTGCTCTTATCAGCCTGCAGATCAGTGTGTAATCTTTCTGTTCCTTGGCGTTATGTTGTTGCACCTGCAATGTACATCAAAAGTTGTGATTCTTCAGAGAACTCCACATAATACGTTTGTCAAAAAAAAAAAAAAAATGAAAGAAAGAAATCCATTACCAAAGGAAAACCCTTAATTGAAGGAAATCGGATTTACTAATTTCAATTGGTACCTGGAAGAGAGGGAATCAAGATCCTGTGTTGTTTGCAGTTTATATATGATCCAACAGTTATAACCAATCAATTCCGTATCTCACAGTATTTATGAATGTGATCACAGCCTTCATGTCATACTTTTCCTCCGTTTTGCCAAAAATCAAGCATTATGTACATGCCAAGAGTAATGGAATCTTTGTTGCTTAGAATGTATTTGATAGGTGATCTGGTTCCTTTCTCATATTTGGATCCCAATAAAAGTTTTCTGTGAAATTATAACATTATTTTTAACTTTTTCATGTGAACATTATAGTTGATATATTTTAAATTGTGTGTATTATATTTTAATATATTGTAATTGACTGGTTTTCTATGTATTGTCTTAATCTAATAAAAGAACAAAATGATTGTTTCATGTTTGCTTTACCTTAATGAAATAGGAGGATGATTGATCCAAACTAAAGCAGCATTACAAGTCAAGATTCAGTTTGATTAAATTCAAAATTTTTCAGGTAATATGAAACTTTTTCCTTTCATTCTTTAAATTATACTAGTTGAAACAATGTGTCGGCATTTGATTGGACTTTGCAGCCAAAAATGGACTTCAAATGCATTTTAAACATTTTGGGACAGATGTACTATCCCCCCTCCCCAATTCCCTTACTACATTTTAAATGCTAGACCAATAGATGGATAACACTGCTTCTTTAACTGGTTGACAAAGAAAAATTATAGTAAGGAATATGGCTAAAAACTAGTATACTGACAACAAGACTGATGTCACATACATAGAAAAGTTACTTTATTGTACCCATCTTACTCTTTACTAACAAAGACAGATGGAATGAAAATGACTTCCACTACCCACTAAATGGCCAGTAAAATAATTAGGCACTACCATCTGAATAAAGGTCAGTTAAATAGTAACAAGTAAACTTGTTGTCTGAATGATTTTAATTAGTGGAAAATGGTCAATCTAACCACTGAGATCCTTACATTCAATATCAAATTATGTTTGATGATGACATATATTTGTGATGCTTGATAGGCAGATTTTATTCATGTATGTGAAAAGAAAGGTATCTTGCAAATTGTCCATTCTAACAGATAAAGGTTCTCTTATGAAATCAGTATCTGTACTTAGTTGAATAATCCTTCGGAGAAACCACAAGACCTCTGCCTTTCCTTGCACCTCTGTACACAGTTTCAATAATGTCCACGAATTCTTGCTCATCTTCCATGGCCCAATTAATTTTGTTGTTGTTTCCTGTGCCCAAGTCAATCATAATATGTTTGTTGCGGTAGAAAAACATGCAAGTACATGGATCATATAACTCATACATTTTGTTAAAATCTGGAACTTCAGTAACATCTACTAAATATACAACTGCAAAGTTTTTCACTTTTTCTGCCACTTTATACAGTGTTTCATCCATGATCATACAGGTAGGATCCCAGTCATGTCCAAAACGAATGATTACCACCCGGTCTTCTTCAGACAAAATTGCTTGATCCACTTGCCAGCCATTCTCTAAATGTGGTAACATGTAAGACATGCTGACTTCAGTTTCGAATGACCTGACGCAGATACAACAATCCTTTGGTTTTGAACCAACTGAAAAAAAGACAAGAACTAATGTTTACAATTGACAAAAGGGTGGTTGTTGGTAATTTAATAAGTTAAACTCATATTGCAGACATGCTGAAAACTTTTCAGAATGGCCGGACATTTGGACCGGCAGTAATGAAAAATTTGCCGGACTGAATGGATCTTTGTCGGACCGAAAATCACCCTATTCATTTGATACAGATACTACTGGTACGATTCGGGTAGCTTACTTAGTTTGTGAATGTGACAGGTTTGAAATGGAAGGGAAAAAAAGCATTGGGTTTTATATAATTTTATTAGTGAAGTATGTCGAATGATGACTGTAAATTCAAAATTGCTGCTCTTAAAACTTGTTCGGTCCTTTCGGCCTACCAAGTCCAATTTTTTACCGGTCCAGACAAATTTTCCCGGTCATGACTGATCGGACCGACAGTTTCAGCATGTCTGTATTGAGGCTTTATATGCTTGCTGCAGGTGAAATCTTTTGGCTACATTGGGGAAACATAAGAGACATTAAAACTGAAGTGATGGACAACCATACATTCTTATCTACGGTATAACTGCCTGGTATCTTTAGAAAATGTCAAAATGTCGATGCATTCAGATTGCTAAGATTTCCTGTACATTTCAGAAAGATGTATCAACATCAGATCGGTATATGTATCTAAGTTTTATTGTTTTTAAGGTCTGAGGCTTTGCAGGACAACTAGACATAAAAAATGACCATTGGGAAGTCTCAAACATGAATAGTATACCTTTTAATCCATCTATAAATATTTAACCAATTTTTAAAATAAGTTTATGGTAAGAGAAGAGTTTCATTAGCTCTGTATGTATCAATTTAAATTATTGTTTTTCTTTTTATCAAGAGCTTATAAAATACGTAGGTTTTACCTCCAATATTTCTGTGACTGTCAGTCACCATCATCAGGGAGTAAATGACTAGGGTCATTTCACCTGGAATGAAAATCCAGGTCAATTGCCCCTAATCACTGGCCTTGTGTTGTAACTGTTACATCTTCCCCCCCCGGGGCTCCTCTGCATCCCTCTGAAGCACCGTGAGGTAGATAGCTGGTAAATCATACCCCCCCTGTCTGTTCAGGTCTGGTTGTTTGG